CATATATGCAAAACGCATAATTGTGGTAACAGCGAAATCCACTACCGAACATTTACTCAACCGGCAGATTTCTTAAAACAGATGAAATCTGCAACATTCCGAATGTGATACTGCAAAATTCACAAAATGAAATCTGCGCATACAGGAAAGAGGAAGAATTTTGTAGAAGTACCTGTACCACAGAGCTGGAAAAATATACCCGTTGTTACGAGCACGGTTATCATTACCAAAAACACCATACTCCATTCCGACACAACGCTCTGCAAGCATCACTAGTAATAATTTTCGTCCTGCTTCCCGCCCATCTCCGGCATCTCGACCCTCCTTTCTTCGGTAAGCCACTAGCGGCAGAACGCTACAGTCGTTCGCATGAGAAGGAAAAATACGAAAAAGCGGGCTATTTGGTTACAAAACTGAGCATCAGCTGGGAATTTAGCAGAAGCAGCGCAACTGCAGTTAAAGTGCCAAGAATTTGGACGGAAAAGTGTCAACGCCAGCAGAAAATGAAAAAAAAACCACAAAAATTTGAGCCCAGAAGTGTCTGAAAAAACCACGCAGGCATGTGACTGGTGAAGCACACTGCTCAAGCAGAAAAATGCGACGCGCGTCGAGAAATGCTATGTTCAAAACACACTGCTTTATGTCTCAGGCTACACAGGGCACTAAGCGTCATGCTAGAAAACATCAATACGAGAGATCTTGTCAACATAACTGCAAAACAAACTTTTACGGCGATTACTCCAATAATGTAAGGTGAAGCTACCGAACCAATCGTTCCCCACAGCCTACAGAATGAAGCCACCGACGATGTATATTTTGGAGCGAGACAGACAATGCTGCAAATCATAACATTTTCACTAGCTTTGATGAAAATACACAGGCACCCGTCGTCATCGAATTCGGAGTGCATGAAGCTTATAACTCAACAGCTGGAGAAACGGAAGTCGCTTAAATCATGCCGTCCCGAGAATAAATTTGATAATTTTATTTTGAAGCAAATTAACCTATCTTCGTGCACCAAACCAACAATACGCAGAACGAAGCATCGGTCACCTCATAACCTCACAACCGTAGTCACTGAGCATACCTGGTATTATATCCAGGCACATAGCCAGAGAGAATGCCCATTCCCAAACAAATGAATAATACCGCCTTGTTCTGATGGTTGCAATCAACAAATATCAATGCAGCAAAACAGCATGCGCCACCCAGTGATGCTGCAATCCTTTACTGCAGCATAGTGCCACCGGAAAAGCAATATTTTGAACGAGGAACATCACTCACCACATAAATTACACACTTTGGTGACCTGCGTGGGCGAAAAGCCTGCTTCTTTAGCTCTGTCCGCAACACTCGCAAATGCCAGTTTCGCAAATAACTGAATGACAAACGGCAAAGCAGAAAGCACACCATTCTGAAGCATGAGAGATGCGGAAAAAATACAAGTAAAACGTCGAGGAAAATTTAAAACTGCAAGTAGGAAATTCTGTAGGACAGCTTCTCTGGAAATTTCTGGAACAAGCATCCCCAGACAGAACCATTTGAATAATTGAAAAACTGATTGCGTTCACTAGTGCTTTATTCCCTGTATTTCATTAGGCAGAAAAGACAATACCACCACTGCTACAATTATTATCATACACACTGAAAATTTCCCGCATGCAGTTAAGAACCAGTTGCCATTGTTCTGGACAGTGTAGTTACCGCATTCTTCATTTCGAATGTGCAGTATTTCAATGACAGTGGAATTAGCCAGTAAAATGGGCATGTTCACTGCATCAAAGCATTTACGCATTTCGCCCTCAACGAGCATGCCTTCTAGAATATAAGGGAACAAAATTAAAACTGTATGTTCAAATCGGCGCTCTAGAGATGAAGATCCACGCCACTGTGAGCGATCCATCATGTGCAGCCACTTGCAAAAAACAACCGAAAAATCACACAGGGCAATAAGAAGACTTTTTTGATGAAAAAAACGAACGCCGCTTGTTAGAGCTCCGCTACTGAAGCTAATTAAAAGCAAGTAAGCAAATGCACCCAGGACCCACAGGACGTACGGTATTACGAAGAAGCAGACGAAAGAACAACATAAAATAAAAAGACAGTCAACGCACAAGTGGTCTGCTGCGTCAATGAATGTATACGACACATGTGCGAAGCTGCGAGCGCCTAAAACTCATTCCAGCGATTACGCTTCAGCTATCTGCGTATATAGTCTTTTTTGTACCAAGATAGATGCTAGCCGGAGTTCTTAAAAACACTAATTATCGAAATCATCCGCGGGCTCGACCAGTCTATGAGTTTATTATCGAGTTACAGATTCCACACAGCACAACCTAGTACGCAACATGAAAAAATTTCATTGACTTTACAGCACCATGCTTTAGCTAATAACCATACTGACAACATTTCTGATACACTCTTAGGCACTCCTCTTCTGTGGACAGAATCGTGATCGCCATCTTACTTTGTTCCCTAGTACAGCACTGCCAGTTTCATTTTTAAATTAGGCAGACTAACAGGTACTATAATGTTATTTACAGCGAGGCAGTGATAAAGAAAGTAGCTCCAATTCAGACTGCCCTTACTCTGTCACAGGAATAACAATAACTTCGTATGCTTTGTCCCCGTTAAAAATAAACAATTCAAACACTAAAATATGGGGCTTATCTCATTAATTAACGACCAAGTTTAGAAATTCTCAAACCCAAAATCAATCGCTGCAGATCTTTCCAAATGCAAAGAGTTCAAATTCGCGCGTGACTTCATTTGGTATTTGGATATGGGTGCAGTTCAACAGCAATATGTTCCCTTTCCACACACACACACACA